ACCCAAATCCTGGAATTCTGACCCAAATCCCAGGAATTCCAACCCCAAATCCCGGGAATTCCGACCCAAATCCCGGGAATTCCGACCCAAATCCCGGGAATTCTGACCCAAATCCCGGGAATTCTGACCCAAATCCTGGAATTCTGACCCAAATCCAGGAATTCCAACCCCAAATCGTGGGAATTCTGACCCAAATCCCGGGAATTCTGACCCAAATCCTGGAATTCTGACCCAAATCCAGGAATTCCAACCCCAAATCCTGGGAATTCCGACCCAAATCCTGGAATTCTGACCCCAAATCCTGGGAATTCCAGCTCCAATCCCCAAAATCTGGATCCCAATCCTGGAATTCCGGCCCCAATCCCAGAAATTTCAATCCCAAATCCCAGGAATTTTGACCCAAATCCCGGGAATTCTGACGCCAATTCCAGGAATTCTGACCCCAATCCTGGGAATTCCAACCCAAATTCCAGGAATTCCGACCCAAATCCCGGGAATTTTGACTGCAAATCGCAGGAATTCTGACCCCAATCCCAGGAATTTCGACCCCAATTCCAGGAATTCCGACCCAAATCCCAGCAATTCCAGCTCCAATCCCGGGAATTCCGACCCAAATCCCAGGAATTCCGACCCAAATCCCAGGAATTCCGACCCAAATCCCGGGAATTCCAACCCCAATCCTGGGAATTCTGATCCCAATCCTGGGAATTCCGACCCAAATCCCGGGAATTCCGACCCAAATCCCGGGAATTCCAGCTCCAATCCCGGGAATTCCAACCCCAATCCTGGGAATTCTGATCCCAATCCTGGGAATTCTGACCCAAATCCCAGGAATTCCGACCCAAATCCCAGGAATTCCGACCCAAATCCCGGGAATTCCAGCTCCAATCATCAAAATCTGGATCCCAATCCTGGAATTCTGGCCTCAAATCCAGGAATTCCGACCCAAATCCCGGGAATTCCGACCCAAATCCCGGGAATTCCAGCTCCAATCCCGGGAATTCCAACCCCAATCCTGGGAATTCTGATCCCAATCCTGGGAATTCTGACCCAAATCCCAGGAATTCCGACCCAAATCCCAGGAATTCCGACCCAAATCCCGGGAATTCCAGCTCCAATCATCAAAATCTGGATCCCAATCCTGGAATTCTGGCCTCAAATCCAGGAATTCCGACCCAAATCCCGGGAATTCCGACCCAAATCCCAGAAATTCCAGCTCCAATCCTGGGAATTCTGATCCCAAATCCCGGGAATTCCAGCCCCAATCCCAGGAATTCCGACCCAAATCCCAGGAATTCCAGCTCCAATCCCGGGAATTCCAACCCCAATCCTGGGAATTCTGATCCCAATCTTGGGAATTCCGACCCCAATCCCGGGAACTTCAACCCCATATTCCCGTTTTCCCCGTCTTTATTCCCGTTTTTCCCGTGACAATTCCCGTTTTCCCCGTCTTTATTCCCGTTTTTCCCGTGACAATTCCCGTTTTCCCCGTCTTTATTCCCGTTTTTCCCGTGACAATTCCCGTTTTTCCCCTCGTTTATTCCCGTTTTTCCCGTGACAATTCCCGTTTTTCCCCTCGTTTATTCCCGCCACCCCGCGCTTTTCCCCCCGGGAAATTTTCCACACCAACCACCGGAAAACCGGGATGGGGGGTGGGGGGGATGGGCTCAGCTCCGCTCCGGGAATTCCCGTTTTTCCCGGGAACGTTTCTCCCGGGAATTCCCGCCGCTATTCCCGGTTTTCCGCGGCTCAGGCGTACTCGAGGCGAGCGGCTCCGCGCGGCTCCGCGCTTTTCCCGGGGCTCAGATAATCCCGAACTTCCAGCTCCATCTTCTTGGCCTTCAGCGCCGCCGAGTGCAGCTTTTCCAGGAATTCCGGCATTCCTGGGAATTCCCAGCGTTCCCGTGGGAATGTCGCCGCCCCTCCCCCGCTCGTCCTTTGCCACTTTTCCCTCTTTTCCCGACGTTTCCCCCTTTTTTTCCGACGATTTTTCCCATTTTTTTCCCCCAATTTTCCCTTTTTTCCCGATTTTCCCCTCAATTTTCTCTCCTTTTCCCCAAATTTTCCCTTTTTTCCCCTCAATTTTCCCCAATTTTCCCCTTAATTTTTCCCAGTTTCCCCCATTTTTTCCCAATTTCCCTTTTCCCCCCAATTTTTCCCTTCATTCTCTCGCTTTCCCTTTTTTCCCTCAATTTTCCCGCAATTTTCCCTTTTCCCACCCTTTTCCCCTTTTTTCCAATGATTTTTCCCAATTTTCCCACAATTTTCCCCAATTTTCCCTTTTTTCCCCAATTTTTCCCTTTTTTTCCTCAATTTCCCCAACTTTTACCAATTTTTCCCATTTTTTCCTCAATTTCCCCAACTTTTCCCAATTTTTCCCTTTTTTCCCTCAATTTTTCCCAATTTTCCTTCAATTTCCCCAACTTTTCCCAATTTTTCCCTTTTTTTCCTCAATTTTTCCCAATTTCCCCCCAATTTTCCCTCAATTTTCCCTTTTTTCCCCAATTTTTCCCTCAATTTTCCCCAATTTTCCCTTCTTCCCTCAATTTTTCCCCATTTCCCTCAATTTTCCCTTTTTTCCCTCAAATTTTCCCAATTTTCCTTCAATTTCCCCAACTTTTCCCAATCTTTCCCTTTTTTTCCTCAATTTTTCCCGATTTCCCCCCAATTTTTCCCTATTTCCCTCAATTTTCCCTTTTTTCCTTCAATTTTTCCCAATTTTCCTTCAATTTCCCCAACTTTTCCCTCAATTTTTCCCAATTTCCTCCAATTTTCCCTCAATTTTCCCTTTTCCCACCCTTTTTCCCAATGATTTTTCCCAATTTTTCCCCTTTTCCCTCAATTTTCCCAAATTTTTCCCTTTTTCCCCCTCAATTTTTCCCAATTTTCCCCCCAATTTTTCCCTCAATTTTCTCTTTTTCCCCAAATTTTCCCTTTTCTCCCCAATTTTCCCGCTCAGTTTTCCCAATTTTCCCTTTTTTCCCCTCAATTTTCCCTTTTTCCCCCAATTTTCTCTTTTTTCCCTCAATTTTTCCCTTTTTTCCCCTCATTTTTTCCCAACTTTTCCCTCAATTTTCCATTTTTTCCCCAACTTTTCCCACTTTTTCCCTTTTTTCCTTCAATTTTTCCTCAATTTCCCCAACTTTTCCCCAAAACCCCCCAAAAAATCCCAAAAATCCCAAAAAATCCCCCAAAAATCCCAAAAAACCCCAAAAAATCCTCCAAAAAATTCCAAGAAATCCCAAAAAAATTCCCAAGAAATCCCAAAAAAAATCCCAAAACCCCCCCAAAAATCCCCAAAAAAACCCCAAAAAAACCTCCAAAAATCCCATAAAATAAAAAAAAAAACCCTAAAAAATCCCTCAAAATATCCCAAAAAAATCCCCCCAAAATCCCCAAAAGAATCCCGAAAAACCCCGCAAAAAATTCCCAAGAAACCCCCAAAAATCCCATTAAAATCCCAAGAAA